TATCATTTCTTGAGCAGTACAATTTGGATATTTTCTTTTTTCTTTCGTTTCTTCTTCAAAGTTCATATTTCATATATGAATTCTTCTTCGTCCCTAGTTGTGTAAAATTAATTTTTGGGGGAAAAAAAGAAAATAGCAGACAGATGGCCTTTATCGATTTTGACATCTGAAGTTTGTTAGGAAATGGACCATTCTTTTTATAGCTGATTATATGTTCCAAAACTATTACCATGGAAACACTTTGGAGACTTCTGATTGGTCAAAATTAAGATATTATCTGATTTAGTTGAAAATTTGTATAAAAAGGTTTAAGAGGATGACAAATACAATGATACTTTTTCTTGAAAAAAATAATTGTTTCCATTTTGTTGTGATGCCTGCCTATTGTGATCCTGTTCACATCTTTTCTACAGCTATACCTGTCTATTGTGACCATTTTCTATAGCTATACCTGTCTATTGTGACCATTTTCTATAGCTATACATGTCTATTGTGACCATTTTCTATAGCTATACCTGTCTATTGTGACCATTTTCTATAGCTATACCTGTCTGTTGTGACCATTTTCTATAGCTATACCTGTCTGTTGTGACCATTTTCTATAGCTATACCTGTCTGTTGTGACCATTTTCTATAGCTATACCTGTCTATTGTGACCATTTTCTATAGCTATACCTGTATGTTGTGGCCCTGTTCACATATTTTCTGCAGCAATGTCTGGCTATTGTGACCATTTTCTATAGCTATACCTGTCTGTTGTGGCCCTGTTAACATATTTTACCCCACAGTATGATAACATCAAATTCAACACAAAGTCATAGGAAGATGGGCATCAATCAATGTTACAAGGTCAAAGGTCACATTTGAAAACTGATGCAAATTCATTAATGATAGTTACATACATAGGAGTGGAGGTATTCATGCCTGACAGACATTTTCTAGGTTTGTAACCTGACTGTATCAGAGATGAAAATCTTCTACCAATTTGACTCTCAGAAAATAGATAATTCCATGTGTAGTTTTCATTCAAAAAATGAATTAATTAATGACACGGATATAGGTTTAGCCTTTATTTAGCCTTTCCATTTTCATCTCTGCTGTATACGTAATGAAAACAAGTTTGAATAAAAATTCATAATAGTTTTAATTTTTAGAAGGAAATGATTGACAGTAAAGCTGCATGATCAGAATTTAACACATGCTTCTGTTTAGCATATGATATACATATAACTTTGTTGATTATTAGTCATACATTGCAGGGATAGGTTGTTGATGATAAACGATCCCGCTGGTGAGGGAAAATATTGAAGGTTATATTGGTGACACTTAAATCAAATGATACATGACTCTTCATAAATACATGTTTTGTCAAATTACTGTAATTAAAAACATCGTCTCCATTTTATGATTCAAATGCAACTTTTGTACTTTCTGAAGTAGCATATTTGTCCGAGGATATAATGATAATTTTCTTGTTTTAAGATTTTTCTGAAATTGAGCTCAACAAAAATATGTGATTTTGCTGTGTTTAATGAGTTGTTTTGAGATTGTTGGCCAATAAATATAGTAATGTTTAAACAGTTTATAGGGATTTGATAGTAAAATACCCAATATAAAATTGGAATTGCATCATCATTAATAGTTGTTCTTTGACCATCAGAATAACATCTGACTAATCATATTGGCAAATTACCTAAAGGATATATTTCTGAAAAAAAGGATAAATAGATGAAAAAAATATATATATTATAAGATGTATTAGTCTTATAACATATTATAACAACCCTCATGAAAAAAAATGTACTTTAAAGGACAATAGAATTATTTAACAAAATATAAAAACTTAACATAATACTGATTAGAGATATTAAATAAATTAACAAACATCAACACAACCACCTGATATAAACAAATTACACTAACAATAAACTGTTGAGAGTCCGACTTGAATGACCTGTCATATTGAATTTAACCTGGAATCTTCAAGTTTGGAAATTGTATCTATTCCTGGTCCCCAATGTTTGAAGGGTTATTTTTCATTATTTTGAAAGACTGAAATGGTGAAATCTTGAAAAATAAAACAGAAAAAATGTAATTCATTTCATGTCATTCCAGAAAATGACATTCTTCTTTACACTTTAGTTAAAAACCTCAAAAATTTTACAGAAAAAAAAATGTACATGGTGTTTGTTAGTAGTAAAACTTGAATGTCCAAAGGATATATTTCGAGGTGCCTTAAGTCAGCTCCAATCAGACAGAACTGATTCAGTGAAAGGCAAACGTAAGAGAAAACCAGCTGAACATGAAAGACAATCCTAGTTAGACTGTAAATATAGTGTTAGAATGACTGGGAAAGCTTTTGTCTGCTACTTTTTCAAGTAGCACCTTATTGAGCTTACAGAAGTCATACACTTGTTCTGTGGACTGCCTTGAACTGAGAAGCTGATACTGAATTTGACTGAAAGTTTTCTTTACTTTGATTTTCACAAGAAGTTTTTGAGCACACAATGAGATATCCTTAATATAAGCAAGCTATATACCTTCGACCAAACATTCTGTATGAAATACATAGAATTTGCCTTTTTATATCTGAACAGAAACCACACCCTTTTCTTATCTGAACAGAAGGCCTTACATTTGCTTAAATCAACAGAAAGCCAAGCATTTGCCTTAACTGAACAGAAGACAGACCTTTTCCTTAACTCAATAGAATATCACACCTTTTCATCAACTCAACAGAAGACCAGACCTTTTGCTTAACTCAATAGAAGACCAGACCTTTTGCTTAACTCAACTGCAGACCAAACCTTTTGCTTAATTCAACAAAAGTCTACATCTTTTCCTTAACTCAACAGAAGACCAGACCTTTTGCTTAACTCAACTGCAGACCAAACCTTTTGCTTAATTCAACAAAAGTCTACATCTTTTCCTTAACTCAACAGAAGACCAGACCTTTTGCTTAACTCAACTGCAGACCAAACCTTTTGCTTAATTCAACAAAAGTCTACATCTTTTCCTTAACTCAACTGAAGAACAGACCTTTTGCTTAACTCAATAGAAGACTAGACCTTTTGCTTAACTCAACTGCAGACCAAACCTTTTGCTTAATTCAACAAAAGTCTACATCTTTTCCTTAACTCAACTGAAGAACAGACCTTTTGCTTAACTCAACAGAAGACTAGACCTTTTCCTTAACTCAATAGAAGACCAGACCTTTTGCTTAACTCAACTGCAGACCAAACCTTTTGCTTAATTCAACAAAAGTCTACATCTTTTCCTTAACTCAACAGAAGACCATACCTTTTGCTTAACTCAACAAAACACCAGACCTTTTGCTTAACTCAACTGCAGACCAGACCTTTTGCTTAACTCAACTGCAGACCAAACCTTTTGCTTGATTCAACAAAATTCTACATGTTTTTATTAACCTAACAGAAGACTAGACCTTTTTCTTAACTCAACTGAAGACCACAGCTTTTGCTTAACTCAACAGAAGACCAGACCTTTTGCTTAACTTAACAAAAGTCTACACATTTAAATCATGGCAGAAGATCAAACATTTGGAGAGTTAAAACATAATGAGCAGCATTAATGCAACATTCAATCCTTATCATTGGCACAAACTGGCTGACCTGTTCTCATAGGACGTAAAACAAACAAATAAAATCTCTGATATAAGGATGTGTAACCTGTTGTCTGTTACCCTGCTGATCACCACGATACCATACACACCCTGTGTTGATAGCAATGTACTGGAAAGATGCTTCATACCCTGTCTATATAATACTGTAGTCCCAGGAAAGACACTATCAAATACTCTGTGTCCTATGATGATTGTAGGACAGAATTTGACTGGGTCTATCTTGTCCATTGACACAATTGTAAGCTGTAGTACATAATCTAACCTTCTCCAAGCTGAATACATTTCTTTTCTTTAGACAATGAACCTCAATTCCTATCAACTATAGTGGCATATAACAGAAGGCTGTCAAACATACATCAGTTATCTCCCCTTCTCCCAAATTAAGTAACAGACATGTTTTCTTAAATTGACAACAATGGCCCATACCTGTCTACAGTGCCCATTGCTCTGATTAACATATCAGGACAGCATATGCCTCCATATACAAATAACATTGCTCTTTATCAGAAATTGATAAGGCTCTATGGAAGTCTCTCAGTATACAGACAAGACTGTCCCATATCAAACAACATTACCCATATCAGAACATTTCCCTCTGTATATAGACAACAATGTCCCATATCAAACAACATTGTCTATATCAGAATGTTTCCCTCTGTATACAGACAACACTGTCCCATATCAAACAACATTGCCCACATCAGAATGTTTCCCTCTGTATACAGACAAGACTGCCCCATATCAAACAACATTACCCATATCAGAATGTTTCCCACTGTGTATAGACAACAATGTCCCATATCAAACAACATTGTCCACATCTGAATGTTTCCCTCTGTATACAGACAAGACTGCCCCATATCAAACAACATTGTCCACATCTGAATGTTTCCCTCTGTATACAGACAAGACTGCCCCATATCAAACAACATTGTCCATATCAGAATGTTTCCCTCTGTATACAGACAAGACTGTCCCATATCTAACAACATTGCCCACATCTGAATGTTTCCCTCTGTATACAGACAAGACTGTCCCATATCTAACAACATTGCCCACATCAGAATGTTTCCCTCTGTATACAGACAAGACTGCCCCATATCAAACAACATTGTCCACATCTGAATGTTTCCCTCTGTATACAGACAAGACTGCCCCATATCTAACAACATTGTCCACATCAGAATGTTTCCCTCTGTATACAGACAACATTGTCCCATATCAAACAACATTGCCCATATCAGAGAACATTTTTCTCTATAAACAGACAACAATGTGCTTCAGATAGAAAATAGAGCCCCAGTATCAAGCAACCCATGTCTGAGTCTGTTTAAGTTCCCCATGTCTGGCAGCCCTGTCAGACATGTTGGCCATACAGACAGCCTTGACTGTCAACACTCTGCCGACAACATTGCCACACATATGACACCCGGGTGAGGCGCCCCTTACTAGTGTACTCCTCCACCCGTTCCTTACTACGGGGATGGTAACAGCACGCTTTCTTGTGGTTATCATTAAGTGTAAATAGTTTCTGACAGCGCAAACATTTACTGACTTTCTGCCCACCTTTTGTCTTTGTTGCTTTCTTTGCCCTCATTTCGTCCAGAGATCTCACCAGAGATCGGAAGGTAAACGATTTTGAAGATTGCTGCTGTGCTTGCATTTTTGGCATAGCTCGTTCCTTCATAGTTGCTGCCCTTTCTGCACCCAGACTGAGGGGACTAACTGCTCGTCGTCGCCATTTAATACGTACAGGGGGATCATTTAAGTCAAGAGACTTGGAGTCTGAAATACCAGATGTTTCTGAGACTTGAAACCGACTCATCCGATCAGACAATGATCTGTTTGTTTTCTCCATAAATGAATTTTGCTGAGAATTTGTTTTTTCAACAAAAGAGTTCTGCAAAGAATTGGCTCGCCTTTCACTGAGCGAACTTTGTGTGTATGCCAGTTTTGTTGGTGGTAAGTTTTTCAGGTTAGGCAACTCACGAGTTGGACTTCGAGCACGCATCAACGGTTTCAATTTGTAGTTTGGATTTTTGGACTGCTTACTTGTTACAGTTTGTTTTGAAGAAGTTTTCACATTTTTGTGGAAATGATCTATCTGTGAGAGGGCATCTTGTAGAGAACTTTCCAGTCTTTTTGCACTTGATTGAAGTTTTAAGAGCTTTTCCTCTGTAATTTGTATACCGTTAGCATCACTTTTAGCCGCAGCATTCATTGTTGGTGATGTTGTTCTGTCTTGGACAGCTGTCTGGGCTGCCTCTTGTTGATCCTCTACCTGTACTGCTTGTAGTATCAACTGTAATTTTTTATGGTCCTCCTGTAACTTGTTCACCTGTTTTTTGTGACGGTTGAGTTCAGCCAGGAGTTGGGTGTTCTCGCATTCAACTTTAACCATGTGATCTTCCTGTTCCTTTTTTGATTGGCTGTTTTGGAACTCTAACTTTTGAAGATGTAATGTTAACATGCTGAATACTGTCTGTCCGTCAATGTCAGCCTCACTTAACTTCAGCAGTTGGAGACATTGTAAGCGATCATCAACTAAAGTGTTGATTAACTCTGCCAGACACTCAATATACAGAGGTAGGGCCCGCTTGGTATCCTCCTGTGAAATTTTCACCAAGATGTCCCCATCCATGTTACAACATTCAGCGATTAATCTCAGTTGATTGGTACATTCCTGGATGACATTGTTGATTTTCAATGTCTCTCGTCGATGATTTTCAATTTCTTGCATAGCCATACGTATCTTATAAGCCCACCCTTCACGTTCTTTTTGGATCTGTGTTCCGAGCCAACGAGAAACCTCCACAATACTTTCGTGTAATGTTTTTCCATTGAGGTTATGTGATTCATCCTCTAGAAAGGTAGAAACTGCTGACTGGATGTCGTCATCCGTGCGCAAATCCGACCAATGCTTAGACGTCGCCATTGGGTTCATATGATGTAATTTGGCCATGTTGATAAAAATAGAAAATCTTTGATTTCTTCAAATAGGTGATCGGGGTATTAGTGTTACAGCTAGTCATTGGTATGTTTGGGAAAGGTCAGTTGGTTCATCTCCTGAAAATACAAAAAAAAATGCATTGTAGAGATTTTTTCTCAAATTATAGACTGAAATATGGAATAATAACCAATGTGAATACAACCTATGTCATTTCTGGATTGTTGTTAGGATCAACACAATTTTAAGAAAGGTTGCAGAAATATTGTGGTGATTACAAATATTATGTTATCAAAGATTGTTTGATGGAAATCAATTCTTGAAAAAAACTCCAATACTTCAATGTTCTGTTCAATTAAAGCACAATTTTTTGAGAGTTATTCCCCTTTATGTACTTTGTTTTGTTAACATTTATTGTGAAATATCTACATGTATAAATTGTATAAAATATTTTATTCATGGAAAATATAATTGTTTGAGAAGAAATAATTACAATATGGACAGAATGTTATTGAAAATAGCCTGCAAATTTGACCTGATTTCAATGTGACATGTACATTCGGAGACAAACTGATAAGCTAATAGCTAGCTCATTGATCTTTATCAAAACTTAAATCTCCATCTTCACTAACAATTTAATTCTGGTTATGATCAAGTGAAAAATAAAATGACTTCTTAGTAACCAATGTATTTTTAACTTTTTATCATTTTGATTTTTTTTTCTTTTTTTAATAAGTTTGTTTTTGATCGCAAGATATTTATCCAAACCTGCACACATACTTAAATGGGATGCAGCATCTAAATAAAAACTTTTCTGAAGAAGTAAAATGCACTGAGTGCATGACTTTCATACATCAACTTGACGACACATTACTTCTGTTTAGTCATCAAACATTTACCTGTACTTAATTACAGGTAGGTTATGTTTAAAGTGAATACAGACAGAATAAATAATTCAGGAAATGCCAGGGTTTATATATAACACAATGATTGTGTTTCATATAGATGTCATATCAGATAGGTACCTTAGTACCTGTACAGGTCATGACACAGCTGCTCACAGATCACAACTCAACTCTGCTGTTCACAGATCACAACTCCACCCAAGTTGTTCACAGAACACAACTCCACACAGATGTTCACAGATCACAACTCCACACAGCTGTTCACAGATCACAACTCCACCCAAGTTGTTCACAGAACACAACTCCACACAGATGTTCACAGATCACAACTCCACACAGCTGTTCACAGATCACAACTCCACCCAAGTTGTTCACAGAACACAACTCCACACAGATGTTCACAGATCACAACTCCACACAGCTGTTCACAGATCACAACTCCACTCTGCTGTTCACAGATCACAACTCAACTCTGCTGTTCACAGATCACAACTCAACTCTGCTGTTCACAGATCACAACTCCACTCAGCTGTTCACAGATCACAACTCCACACAACTCCACACAGCTGTTCACAGAACACAACTCCACACAGATGTTCACAGATCACAACTCCACACAGCTGTTCACAGTTCACAACTCCACCCAGGTTGTTCACAGAACACAACTCCAAACAGCTGTTCACAGATCACAACTCCACACAGCTGTTCACAGATCAAAACTCCACACAGCTGTTCACAGATCACAACTCCACACAGCTGTTCACAGATCACAACTCCACGCAGCTGTTCACAGATCACAACTCCACGCAGCTGTTCACAGATCACAACTCCACGCAGCTGTTCACAGATCACAACTCCACGCAGCTGTTCACAGATCACAACTCCACGCAGCTGTTCACAGATCACAACTCCACGCAGCTGTTCACAGATCACAACTCCACACAGCTGTTCACAGATCACAATTTCACACAGCTGTAGACAGATCACATCTGAACACAGATGTCTATAGATCACACCTCAGCTACAGCTTTATAAGAAGGACTTCTCTGGCATGTACACTTTAATTGATCACAACTTGACACATATAGATCACAGTAATGTCAAATTCACAACACCAGCAGTGCCTCACGTGCAAAGCTGTTATTAAAAACAGATATCCTACAGCTGTTCACAATAAGCCCACCTCATCTGTTACAGTTCTACAGAAATACGCAGCTGTTCACAGATCACAACTCCACTTCAGAGACTATGTGTTTAGTTCCATACATTTATGTTTAATACCATGTAATACCGTCAGGAAACAGCACATACAAACACTTTTGTGTCAATATATCTATTGGTCTCAACAAGATCTAACACATTGTCTTCTCTGTTTCCAAAGTGAAAAAAACATTTCACAATATAACAAACTCAATCACATTCATAATATATCCACCAGCTAATTCATAGATGAAACTTCAAACTTTCACATCTAGGTCATTCATAAACTTTAATAATTAGTGTGTTTATCTAATTTTGGACCAAAATTAATTGAAATTGGTTTGTATTTGTATGTGTTCACAACTAATAGCAAGTTTGTTTGACACACTCACACAGTTGTGTATGTAAATACACAATTACAGATCATAACTCCACACACTGTTCACAGTTACAATAGACCATTGACCAGCACAACTTATTAAGAAATATTCTGACAAATCACATTTCCACACATACTGTTCACAAATAAGGAAATTAATATTTGTAATGTAAAAGGAATTACAGATATAACTCCACATTGTGTGAATTTTGTGTAAATCACTGGTACTTCTGAAACAACTTCTGTTCACTGGATCACAACTCCACACAGCTGTTCACAGCTAATTTTTAGTTTAAACAGAATCCCACACCTAAAATGATCAATATTTCAGTACAGATCACAACTCCACACATTTTTATGTACTTGCAACAGCAAATCACAACTCCACACAGCTGTATACAGATCACAACTCCACACAGCTGTATACAGTTCACAACTCCACACAGCTATTTAAAGATCACATCTCAACACAGCTGTTTACAGATCACAATTTCACACAGCTGTAGACAGATCACATCTGAACACAATCTATGAAATTTGCTAAGCTTTATAACAATAATCATATGTACACTTTAATTTTGAACTTTTCTTTACATCATTTTCAGTAATGTGAAATTAATCACCAGTCAGTGGCTTCAAATATTAAAAACAGATATCCTACCTAGCATCACAATAAGCCCAGAAGGATAAAACAGTTCTATGAAATATGAGAGTCCTTATATTAAGTCACATCTCCACTTCAGAGACTATGTGTTTAGTTCCATACATTTATGTTTAATACCATGTAATACCGTCAGGAAACAGCACATACAAACACTTTTGTGTGTGTTTTGTCTCAACAAGATCTAACACATTGTCTTCTCTGTTTCCAAAGTGAAAAAAACATTTGCATCAATATTTAACAAACTCAATCACATTATAATATATGCCCATGTTAATTCATAAATGAAACTTCAAACTTTCACATCTAGGTCATTCATAAACTTTAATAATTAGTGTGTTTATAAGCTAATTTTGGACCAAAATTAATTGAAATTGGTTTGTATTTGTATGTGTTCCAATAATAGCAGGTGTTTGTTTGAACACTCCCAGTTGTGTATGTAAATATTTAATTAGGAATATGTCCTGAACTGCCGATTACAATAGACCATTGACCAGCCAACTTATTAAGAAATATTCTGAAAATCAATTTCCTGTACCAGCATACTTATCCAAAATAAGGAAATTAATATTTGTAATGTAAAAGGAATTAGTGATGATATAACTGATATTGTGTGAATTTTGTGTAAATCATTGGTACTTCTGAAAAACTTCTTGTCTACTGGAGCAGGGGGGAGAATGTCATTCAGTTAATTTTTAGTTTAAACAGAATTATATACCTAAAATGATCAATATTTCTGTATTTTATCAACAATTTTTATGTACTTGCAAAGCAAATGCTACAAGTTGCAGCTTGTACTTCACAAGAACTCTGAAAGCTGGAAGCTCATTTCTTCAGGCTTAATAGTAGATATATAGCAGTGTTAAGAACAGAAAGTTACGTCCAAAAAATTATGAAATTTGCTGAATTATAACAATAATGCATATCTCCATCTAGATTTTGACTTTTCTTTCAGTCATTTTAGATTTTCCTTAATCACCTCCTTGGCTTCAAACTTCAGCCCCTAGCATCACTGATGAGCCCTAGAAGGATAAAACAGCTATGTGATGCAGCTTAATTCTCTGTTCAGCTCTTATGTATATAGCTCTGAATTTGTATTAAAAAGAATTGTTCACTTGTGTGTGTTTTGTACAATCTTCAGTTATTCAGGTGTTACAACAGTGTGTAACATGAAAAATAATAAACATACAATATACAAGTTGTTAGTCACACTAGACTTTTATAGAGGCTGGGTGAAAGGTTTAAAGAACATATTCATGCCAAAACCCCATTATCAAGGATTTAATTATTTCACTAAACTCATAAATATTGATTTCTTAATCAAATTTTAATTCAATCCAAACAGTATTTATGTTCTAATGAATTATTAACAGCTCATTGACCGTAATGTATCAAAGAGTTCAATTCAATGATTTGTTGGTTTGTGTTTCACATTACTTGTGTGTATTTGTATAAGAGGAATACAATTGGCCTTCTTCGAATCAATTATATAGTTAGAATGGTTCAAGTTTAGACTTAAGACATTCTCATGTACATTGGACTCTGTATGTTATCATGTTTAGGTTTGTATCTAAAGAAGCACAGGTTCTGTTTAAATATAATTGTGTGAACATTGGTTTTATGTTTGTTTTTAGCTCATATCACGTAATGATTCACTGTTATATCACTCTTTGTCCTTAGTCAAATTTCTCTTAATATCACATTCACTTTATATCACTTGATGTCATATTTCTCTTAATATCACATTCACTTTATATCACTTGGTGTCATATTTCTCTTAATATCACATTCACTTTATATCACTTGATGTCATATTTCTCTTAATATCACATTCACTTTATATCACTTGGTGTCATATTTCTCTTAATATCACATCTCACTTTATATCACTTGGTGTCATATTTCTCTTAATAACACATTCACTTTATATCACTTAGTGTCAAATTTCTCTTAATATCACATTCACTTTATATCACTTGATGTCATATTTCTCTTAATATCACATTCACTTAATATCACTTGGTGTCATATTTCTCTTAATATCACATTCACTTTATATCACTTGATGTCATATTTCTCTTAATATCACATTCACTTAATATCACTTGGTGTCATATTTCTCTTAATATCACATTCACTTTTTATCACTTGGTGTCATATTTTTCTTAATATCACATTCACTTTATATCACTTGGTGTCATATTTCTCCTAATATCACTTTTCATTTAATATCAGTATATGTCATCACATTTCACTTTATTACACATTTTGATATTGCACATCTTCTATGTGAATTTACATTTATTGCAGTGTATAGATAAAACTGAATTTTTTCATGATTAAATTGACTATTCTCCTTTGTATTACCATTTCTTTTCAAGTGTAATTTCTCATAGTCTTAAGCCATTTTATTTGCAAGACCGTGCTCACAATAGTAAGACAATTATCCTTTAAGATCTTATTCAAACATCTATTGCAGTTTATCATTTAGGGACGCTCATTGTCACGAAAATCAGATACAACAATTTCTACACTATGGTTGGCCAAGGCATTTAACTATCATGAAGTAAAAAATAATACAAGAAAAAATATTTGTATAAGTCAAATGATTGACTGACTTCAAAGTTTTAGAAGATGTAATGTATTTTTTTGCTGTTTTTTGAAATTAAATACTATGTTGGAATTGCACCAATATAT